AACAAGCCAGGGCTGAGAGTGTGGTGAAGTGGTTAAGACACAGCTTCAGACCCCACATCCTGTATCCGAGTGTCTGGGTTTGAGTCTTGGCCCTGCTCCTGATTCCAACTTCCCGCTAATGCACACCTTGCAGGCAAGAGGTGCTGGCTTAAGTACCTGGGTTATGGTCACCCTCATGCGACGTGAATTGAGTTCCTGGCTCCTGGCTTTGGCCTGACCAGTTCTGGCTGTTGTGGGCATTTGGGGAGGGAACCAGTGGATAGAAGACCTCTTTCTGTCTCTCTGCCTCTCAAAGAAAAAAGAAAGAGAACAAGCCAAGCCAGAAATGTCAAGATGCCCTTGGCCTAAACATTCCAAATCATATGGCTGCTGCTCCATGACGGAGCAGGCCCTGAAACGCCCTGCCTGATGGCCTGGGGGAAATGTTCTAAGGGAATGCCCTAACCAGGGCCCCCGGTGCCCTGCCTCTGAAGAAAGAGAATACCCTGGAGACAGACTATGGCATGAACAAAATGGCTTAGAAGAAAACCTATGCCCTGGACGCTGTGACTGTCATGAAAAGAAAGATCTGGAAGATTCCACCAGGCTCCCTGGTCTAAGCCTTTCTTTTATGGGTGGGAAGCTGAGGTGCACAAAAGGGACTTAAGTAATGTCACCCACTTAGCTGGAGTGCCCGAGCGTCTCTAGCTGCTGGGGCTTGGTTCCAGGAAGGCTTGACGATAACAAGATCTGCAAATGTTCCAGCCCCACGTAAAATGCCATGGCATTTGCGTAGAATCTGTGCACATCCTCCTGTGTACTTCACATCATCTCTAGAGTACTTATAATACCTAATATTATGCAAGTTGTTGTACTCTATTGCTTAAGGAATGATGACAAGAAAAAATTTTGCACAGGTTCAGCACCAAGGCAGCCATCATACACCTCACCACATTTTTTCTCTGCAATTGGCTGAGTCTGTGGGTAAGGGACCTGCAGACACAGAGGGCCAGCTGTGCCTCTCTTAGGGCCCCTGTTTGTTTATCCACCCAGGGAGGCCCCTTTCAGCCCCAGTGTTCTGAGGCCTGGGAGAGTCTTGTTCCGGGACACCTGTGCTTGGCTGTGAATTCTCAGTGTGACTTTGGAAAAGCCGTTTCCTGTCACAGAGCTCCTCAGCCATCTTCTACTGCTGCCAAGGTATACACCAAAGAACCAAGCCCCCGCCCCGCCCAGAGCCCCCACTGGCGCCCAGCCACCTCTGTTGGAAAACACCAAGGCAGGAGTTGCCAGATCTCTCACTTCCGCCAGGAATCACGCCACCGTCTGCTGGCATCCCTCCCACGCTCTAGTGTACAGAGCTGCCTGAGTTCAGATCTCATCTCCACCACCTTCCAGTTATGTGGCCCCTGGGCAAATTGCTCAGTCCTTCCGTGCCTCAGTTTCCTCAGCTGGAAAGTGGGGATTGTGATAAGAGCGCCTCCCTCATCATCTGTGAAGAATAAATACGAGCACTGAGAGCAGCAGCCGGCGCCCGACGACCGCTCAGCAAGTCAGGAGCTGCTGTTACTACTACTGAGCATTTTGTGACGCCTCGCCTTGCTTAGTTCTCGCGCTCTGTTACTTCAGGCGAATCTGAACAAGGCTGTGGAGCTTCTAACGTTGCCAATGTCAAAAGACCATTTTTCTGTCTTTAAAACAACAGGTTAGTGATGTCACTCCAGGTGGATTTAATGTCTGAGGGGCACTCTGGCTCCCGTGGGAGGGGGGAGGGTGCTCTCACACACAAAGTGGCGCGGACTGAAACTGCACAGGACAGAAACACCCGAGCTGCTGGGAGGCTGAAGGGGTCACCGAGTCCTGGGCCAAGCCCTGCACTTCCCCCTGAGAACCTGGGCCCAGAAAAGGGCCGTGGCTGCTGGGCTCAAGCAAGGGCTCAGGGCTCCCTCCCTCACACTGCCCACAGCAGGAGACAATGGGGAGGGAGTGACTCTCAGATTCCACTGCTTCCTGAGAAGGCATCAGAAAGGGAAGTTGGGGTTGGGGGGTGTGACAGGACCCTCAGGAACAGAGTTTCCAGCCTGGTACCCTCCCGTGAGGCTGACACCCAGGAGTGTCTCCATCAACACATACTTGCCCCCTAAGTGCTCATCTTCAGCATGAGTAATTGAGCTGATGTGGGCTGGCAGCATGAAGCAGTAACCAGGACACCTGGGCTCTGACTCCAAATTCAGCTTTGAAGTCCCTACAGTGGGCATTACGGTGCAGTGGATTGAGCCACCACTTCAGATGCCTGCATCCCCTATCAGAGTGCCTGGGGTCAAGTCCCACCTCTGCTTCCGATTCAGCTTCCTGCCAATGTGCACCCGGGAAGGCAGTGGGCGATGGCTCAAGGGCTTGGGTCCCTGTCACCCACATGGGAGACCCTGGTGGTGGTTTGGGCTCCTAGTTTGGCCTTGGCTCAGCCTAGTTGTTTTGGGCATTTGGGAAATGAATAAGCAGACAGATCTCCTTCTCTGTCTCTCTCTCTGCCTTTCGAATAAATAAGAATCAATAAGTAAACAAACAAACACACAAAAGCAGCAGTCCCACCTTCTTGCTTCATGGAAGACTTCCTTGGGAGTTCCCTAGCAGAGTTCCCCCCACGCCAACTGACTTAGTCACCAGCCTGCACACCATACACCATGCTGTGCTGCTACCAAGTCCACTAATGGCTTCCTGGCCCCCTAAGAGCATCTTATTGCATTCAGTAGAGGAACTGAGTCTGGAGCTCTCTGGGCTCCCTGCATGTGCATGGCTCCCTAGTGTGCACGGATAATCACAGAAGTATAGGAAGGTCAGATGTCTTGTCTGACCAATCATCTCCCTCAGCGGAGCACACTAAGGCTAAGGAGGGCATTGCCTCCGTAGTCAGAACTGGCTGCACAGGATTTCAGACAGCACAACAAAAAAGGCCAGGGATGAGAAGAGACGCCCCCTTATGGCAGGCCATGTGTAGCAGTGTCACTAGAGAAAGCTGTGTGCGCACAGATCAAGAAAGAACATCCTGGGGTGACCATTTGGCTCAATGGTCGAGTCACCATTTGGGACACCCACGTCCCATACTGGAATGCCTGGTTCAAATCCCGGCTCCTCCACTTCCAGTTCAGCTTCTTGCTGATGTGTACTCTAGGAGAGGGTGGTGGTGGACCTGGTAGCACAGTGAGTGAGCGGTGCTTGTAAGCACTTGGTCCCTGTCACCCACAGGGGAGATTAGGATTGAGTTCTAGGCTCTTGGTTACCTCCTGGCCCAGTCCTGGGCCAGTTGTGGCCAGTCGGGGAGTGCACCAGTGGATGGAAGACCTCACTCTCTTTCTTCCAAATAAAATGAAAATAAATACATTTTTTAAAGAAAATCCTAAAATAAGCCTCTTTCCTCCAGGAAACCCTGGAATTCACATGGCCCCGGGTAAGTTACAGAACCCACACTCGAGTTTAGTTGTTGGCATGGAGTTATTTTTTAGACAGCTTTTCTATTAATTTCCATTTCTCCTTTCCCTTTATTCCATGAGCTATACTAAGCATATTTCAGAGGAGTGGGACCCTCTTATTCTGGCAGTAATAAGTAATGAAGAATATTTTTTTTTTTTTGACAGGCAGAGTGGATAGTGAGAGAGAGAGACAGAGAGAAAGGTCTTCCTTTTGCCGTTGGTTCACCCTCCAATGGCTGCCACGGCCGGCGCGCTGCGGCCGGCGCACCGCACTGATCCGAAGGCAGGAGCCAGGTGCTTCTCCTGGTCTCCCATGGGGTGCAGGGCCCAAGCACTTGGGCCATCCTCCACTGCACTCCCTGGCCACAGCAGAGAGCTGGCCTGGAGGAGGGGCAACCGGGACAGAATCCGGCGCCCCGACCGGGACTAGAACCCGGTGTGCCGGCGCTGCTAGGTGGAGGATTAGGCTAGTGAGCCGCGGCACTGGCCTAATGAAGAATATTTTATAGATACCATCTCAAAGCAGAACACCTGGAAATAAGATGGTATCTGCTAAAAGACTGTGGAGCCACCTGCACACATGTGAGCAATTATTGTGTGTGTGTATCCTATGCAGTGAATTAAAATACATGATTGACACATGTCTGTGGTATTTCACATATACAGGCTCACAGATATCTATGTGTCCAGAGATACAGACCTCATTTCAGTGACCATCTGGTAATGACCTGGCATATGACATAATCTTAAATAGTTGTAACAATATCTTCCTTTAAATATATACACTTCTGTATGTGGTTATCGGTATATGTATGTTTTATAAAACCTACATTTTGTTGGCATATATAAGTTGTGTATGTTTGTGTATATAACACATGCACAGAAGGCATATTAACGGTTAGAAATATACAAGGGGTCTTCAAAAGTTAATGGAAAATGTGTATTATCAAAAAACTAGGTATAGATTCCAAAATTGTTCTGCACCAAAAAAAAAAATCCTTATTTTTTAATTCTTTTGTAAACTCTTTGAAGTGGCCTCAGCTATGCCCACACACATGTACAACATCTTATTTTCTTCTAAAATCCAGAATAAACTACCCACAGCTCTTCATTATGTCAACCTAGGTATAAACAAGCATCAATACATTATGAGAAAGCATGTTGCTTTTCTTACTGTCTTTAACAAAGCCCTTAAGTCAAATGGATTACCTGAAATGAGATAAATTTATATTCCTTACTAGAAAATCAATAGTCTCAAGTCTTTCATCTTCCAAAGCAGTATAAGGTGCAATAGACCTTGTGAATCTAGAGTGGTTTCAGGGGGCTCATGAGCCACGTCCTTCACCTGAAAGCAGTGAGCTACCACACACCCCCGACTCTGCCCAGCACCGAGCAGAGCCGTTTGGGCTCCTGCTAGGTGTACCAGCCCAGTCAGCATTTCTATTCTAAGCCACACACTGGCAGGTTACTCGGCTTCCAACTCTGTGTGCATCCCAGGCAAATGGCAACAGCAAGAGGGCTGCTCCAGGTTTGGGGCAAGGATCTGAAACTTACCACACGCTGTCACTGCCTCTGTCCAGGGGGTTTCCCATGGGGTCATAGTACACATCCACGCTGAGGTTTCGGTTTGTGTCGTGGGCTGAGTTGAAGTTGGTGATCACCCGGGAGGGAATCCCCAAACACCGCAGCACTGCAAGTCAAGGTCAGCGTGAGGACTTGGGCTGTGATGCAGACAGGACGCTGGTGCGCCCCCTTGCTGCCCACTGACCCGGCAAAGGCATGCTGCACCCGAGGTACCTGTGTTGAGGGCCCCAGCAAAGACCCAGCACTGGCCAAATCGGACTGGCTTGTAGCCAGACTTTTTCCACTCCTTGAGGATTTCCACGCTGCCATTCCAGTTCCTTGGGTCCCGGCCACCTGCGTAATTGCCACTCCAATTCCCAGCAATCACACCGTTGTCATCGTTGCTATTGATCTGCACAGAAATCCCCACCCCAAAGTGAATCAGCACCACGCCTTTCCCACGAAGAATGGCTTGCAGAATTCAGAGCAACGTGGGGAGGAAGAAAGCCAGATACAGCTGCATGGACTTCTCTGCTTCTTGGTAGGTGACTTGGGTATGCTAATGTTTAACAACAAGCCCTCCAAGGTATCCAGTGTCTTAACAATTTAGAGGTGCCTTTCCTAATGCGCTGTGCTTGACTACCCTGGACCCTCTGTGCTGCAGGCTGACGTGGAAAACAGACTCCACTGCTTGTCAGTGGAAACGCAGGGCCAAAACTCTGGCTTGGGCCAGCACTGTGGTGTAGCAGGTTAAACCTCCACCTGCAGTGTCAACATCCCTATGGGCACTGGTTTGAGTCCTGGCTCCTCCACTTTCCATCCAGCTCTCTGCTACGGCCTGAGAAAGCAGTAGAAGATGGCCCAAGTGCTTGGGCCTCTGCACCTGAGTGGGAGACCAGGAAGAAGCTCCTGGATCCTGGCTTCAGATCAGCCCAGCTCTGGCCATTGAGGCCATCTGGGGAGTGAACCAGTGGATGGAAGACCTCTCCCTCTCTCTGTGTCTGCAACTCTGCCTCTCAAATAAATACATGTGCTTTGGGCCGGCCTCGCGGCTCACTTGGCTAATCCTCCACCTGCGGCGCCGGCACACCGGGTTCTAGTCCCGGTTGGGGCACTGGATTCTGTCCCTGTTGCCCCTCTTCCAGGCCAGCTCTCTGCTGTGGCCCGGGAGTGCAGTGGAGGATGGCCCAGGTCCTTGGGCCCTGCACCTGCATGGGAGACCAGGAGGAAGCACCTGGCTCCTGCCTTCGGATCGGCACAGCGCCCCGGCTGTGGTAGCCATTTGGGGGGTGAACCAACAGAAAAGGAAGACCTTTCTCTCTGTCTCACTGTCTAACTCTGCCTGTCCAAAAAAAAAAAAAAAAAAAAAACCCACAAAACATGTTCTTTGAAAAAGTAACTCTGGCTTACAGAAGACCTCTTGCAAGAATTCACAGTCAAAATAAATCTTAAAGAAAAAAAAAAAAAAGAACTCGCAGTCACTGACCCAGGTCTGTTTGCAGGGGTCCGTGATTTGAAACTCTTTGGGGCACTGATTTGAAAAGATCACTTCAGAACATTAACAAGTAACATCTTGGAAAGAATAAAGATAGAACGTTGACTTCAACCCATTAACTCCTTCATCATTCATGAATTCAGCTTAACACATGGCTCCTTTATAAGCAACACAACCATAATATAGTATTAAAGGAGCAGTGCGGGAGAGGGAGAGGGGAGAGAGGAGAGGGGAAAAGTAAAGGAGTACCAGAGAAGGACTCGAGAGACCCGACTTGCATTGTCTTCTGGAAACACATATGGAAATATTTATGAGTGAAACCGTCAAACAATGCAATGTGTGCGACTTGTCGAATGATCTGTGGAGGCAGGGACAGAGCTGAGCTGAGCTTGGCCTTGAGCCGGTGATTGCTGAAGCTGATGATGGCTACATAGAACTCATCTTGCTTTTCTCTCTACCTTTGTGTATGTCTAAGCTTTTCCATAACACAAAGTCAGAACTGGAAGAAAGGAGAAACTCAGGCCACAAGCTCCACCCTATCACTTGTCATCATGGGCAAGTCAGTTCACCTGTCTGGGACTTAGCTCTTCACCTCCCAACACAGGGAAAGTGAGCTCCAAGCGAGCTCCAAGGTGGTTTCCAGCAGGCACCTTCCCAGGGTCTCTGAAGCCGTGTCGTATATCCCAGCTGTGCAGAGGGGCTGGACCAGGCTCTCAGAGGCTCCTGAAGGCTGTGAGCCACCCCCCCCCCCCCCCCCCCCCCCGCCCTTTCAGGCATCTATAAGCGGCTTGGCTCATGAGAAGAGGCAGGCTGGAAACAGGCCGATCCTTCCCTGGTCCCTGAGCCCAGCAGTGAGCGCGGCAGCCCTCCCACAAGGGCCTGGGCTGTGATCACAGGAGTGGCCAAGACTTGGCTTCCTCCAAGATGGAAGACAGCAGCCTCTCCCCGCTCCTGAGTCACCATGCTCCTGCCACCAGCGTGGCAATCAGCAGGGTCATCTCTGGCTGAAAGCTGAGCCTCTCCAGGCCCTGCACAGGCCACAATTAGCTCATGGCCCTGCCCAACCAGGAGGCCGGGAGAGAGCATCAGGGAGGTACAGCTGAGGAAACTGGCTCCAAGATAAAGTGGCTTGGCCGGGGGGAGGGTGAGTCAGCAGGTGGAGGAGCCAGCCAGCCTCACCCACGGCCTCCTGGGCCCAGGAGGCTCAGGGAGGCTCAGTGCCTAAGTCACCCGCACTCCCGCTTCACCTCTCTGCCTCGGCTGTAACGCCCCCTCCCGTGCTGGGCCCCTTGGATTTTGAGGTCTGCCCACTTTCCCTGAGTCTCCCTGAGCGCTCTGGGCCTGCTCCACGCCTGCTCCGCGAGGCTTGGCTCCACATGCTGCCCTCCCTGATTAGCCTCAGATGTGTATCATGCCGCTGAGAGGCGGCTCAAAATTTGAATCAGGTAGCTCACTCATTTGCCAACTTGGAGAAGTTCCCACTCAAAAGTAAGGAGACCAAGGAACGCCTAAGCTAGGAACAACAACAACAAAATCCCTGAAGACACGTCTGGGGAGCTGTTTCGTTTGCGAGGGTTACAACGCAAGAACCCTTTTTGATTTTGAGCTGCTTACCTTGGAACTTCTGGGCAGGGTCACCCTGTCTGCGCATCTTAGGACCGTAGCCTTCTGTGCAGAGGTCACGCCCACAATGCCATGGGAGCCAGTCTGCACGCGTGAGCATGTGTGCTGCGAGCCACTGACTTCAACGACTTAAACCTGTTTCTGGGTCTAGGCCACGGATGGGGCGACCTCCTGCCTTGGGGTCCTGTGTGCTGTGGAGGTGGTGGGTTCAAGATTTCTCCCCCAGGAGGCCCCACCACCGAGCAGAGGCCTGGCTTTGCTTCGGCCCCTTGCTGGTGCTCCCGCAAAGGGCGAGTTCCCTTCTCCTCTGAGGCAGGCCTCCTGACAGTGGGAACGGTGGCGTTGCAGCCAGCCCGACCTGGGGCCAGCGCTGCCTCTGCCACTGCCTCACCGTATGCCCCGGGCAGGCACTTGAAGGCAGAGGCGCCCTGTGCTCCACGCTGGCAAGATGGGGACTGTCACAGTCCCTAGCTGCACCTGGTGAGGCCGCAGCGTGATGATATCTGTCCCAGCACAGGGGCCTCGCCAGAGTTGGTCTTCAACGCATGGTGACAACTGGTTATTGCTGGTCGCCTGTTACTCACCATGGCACTCAATACGCGGCCGACATACTTGGGGTCCTTTCTGAGGGCCACATCAGTGGCAGGGTCACGGCGGAAATTCAGACTCTTATCCAAGATGGAGAGGCAAATGTTCAGAATGTCTTCTTCAAACTGTTCAAAATGGGACCATGTGTTAGGATGAGAGAAATGACAAGTGGTGTCTGCTGATCAGGGGTTCAGGAGCCACAGTGGTGGGGACCACAGAAATTCTCAGGGTCACTTCTTTATGTGGCTGCAGGAACTGAGAGCCGCTGTGGACCAGCCACCACTCAACCTTTAACCCTGCAGACTCCCAGAGCTCTGGATGTACCTGAGGCCCTTGTACCCACTCCCCAACAGTGAACAGCGCAGGGCATGGGGTGGCCGACTCCCTCACTGCCATGGGATCAGGAGCAAGTTGCTTAGCCTGCCTGGCCTCAGTTTCTCCATCTGTATAACGAGGGACCAGGCCAAGGTCATCTCAAAGTTTCCTTCCAGCTCTGACTATGATCTTGAGCATATTATTTAGATTCCTGGGGGAATAGTTGTAAAGATAAAAAGAAAAGTATTTGAAGCCATTTTGACAAAATAAGACTTAGTCCAGGTCATCGCTTCTCAAAGGGAGGGGGCCACGCTCCTGCTGCCTGGGGTTTCTGCACTCACTTTTCCTTCTGCTCGGGATGCCCCTCCCCAAGACATCCCCCGGCTCCCTGGCCTCTTCCAGGTTCTCCTTCCTAAGAGTGGCCTTCTCAGCCCGTGCCATGCATCAGCCTCCCTTCCACCTCCAGGTGCACGCTGAGAGCTTCCCTCGAAATCTGCCCCAGAAACACGACTTAGGAAACAGGTAGGAGCTTCCTCTGGTTGAGCACGGAGTTGGGCCTGGAGACGGGGAAGGCGTGCACCTGCTCACCCCTCCCTGGGTATCCCGGGCACCCTGCCAAGGTACTTTACTCTGATGGTTTTGTTATCTTCTGAGAAAAAGGAAAGGTGCAGAGGCAGCTCTGAACACTTTCTAAGCTGAGCAAACCTGGGAAGTGTGCGTACTCAGATGGCAGTCAAGGCAGTACAGACCACGAGGCGATGGCTCTGAAAGGCCACACGGCGAGGCCGCTCTACCACATCTTCACACGGAATGAATCAGAGAAGCTACGTTACTGCTCCAAGTGTCTCTACTGGGCCTTGGGCTTACTTGTGTACCCGGCACCAGTACTGCCTAACTGCTACCGCTGAGTTCTGTGCATCTGTCTCACTGGCTACACCGCGAGCCCCTCAAAGTCAGGGGATCTTATTCCTCTCCTGTATCCCCAGTGTGCAGCTTGGGACCAGGCACACAGTAGGTGGTCAGTAAGTGCCTTCTGAACAAATGGATGGGAGAGGGAAGGCAAGTGAACAGATGCGGGGTTGTCCCCCAATCTGCGGGACAAGCAGCTGAGTGCTTCTTGCACGACAGAGCTACTACCCTGAGCGTCCATATGACCCTTTTACCTGTCCAAAGTTCCAGCCAACCATGCCAATTCGGTTTGTGCTTCCCACATAGATGATGCCAGCATCTTCCTCAACATACTCTTGTCTCTCAGCATGGTTACTCAGAAAGACATCATCCGCTGTTTGACACAGAAAGCAGATACCAGCGACAAGACTCTTACGGAGGATGACAGCCATTAGCACTTTCTCACTCCTTCTGAGACTGGTGCTGGGCTGGGCTAAGTCCTACTTTATCCCGCCCCCCAACCTCCACCAAGGAGTGAGATTTTGGACCTAGTGCTTCCGTTCCTGTTGCAGGAACTCTGATCTGGGTCTGAAAGTGAGACCCCAGGGGCCAGACACCTGCTCCTGCAGGCAGGAAGCTAGCTCCATGCTGCAGAATTATGCTGTAGTCATTGTCCCTGGAGCTGACCACTCTGGGCAGTTTCTGAGCGTGCACGTGATTGCCACGTGAGCCCCAGAGGAGGCAGCAGGTTATGGTTTTGATTGTAAGGAATCTGGGATTCAGAGAAATGGAGCAACTGCCCAAACTGAGTGGCAGAGCACCTGACTTCTCCCTGCTGTGCTGTTCCCACAGCCCACAGACTTGCCCTAATCCAGCTGAGGCTGTGAAGACCATCTCCCCACCTCCTTTTCTCCTTTCTCTGGCCAGAAGAGTGGGTGACTAGAGGCCTACCTTGCAGCCAGGGGTTAAAGAGCAGTATGAAGGTCCCGAGTTTCAGGGAGGAGACGGTCCCCTGGGAGGAGATCTGCATGTTCAGCGTGTACCACCCTATGGGCGCACTGGCCGGGCTGGACAAGGTGATGGTCAGAATATTGTCACTGCTGCCCTTGAGCACCGCACTCCAGCCACCTCTGCCGGTTCCACTGGAGAGCGGAAACACAGCCTTGGTTCCTGTGGACTCTGACGGGTAAGGCCCTGCCAAAGAAGACAGAGGACAAAGGAAACCAAGGAATGCTGGTCAGACCACGGGGAGATCAGGTTCCAGTACAACCACAGGGGCCCTCTGAGGGGTGTCACTCAGTGGAGGAGCACTAGGTGAGAGTGCTGGAGCTGGAGAGCCCACGGGGGTCAGATGCCTGTTGATCTGAGGACGGTGACTCAGGCTCAGATGGGCAGCCACTCGCTGGGCGGGAGTGGAGCCCGGTGATCCCAGTGTGGTTGCCATCCCCACGTGGACGCACGGTGGGTGGTGGGGGGAGCAGGCTGGTACCTGTGGAGACTGTGAACTCCAGACTCTCTCCAGAGCCAAGGGGACGGTTGAGGGCTAGCAACATATCAAAGGGCTGGCCCCTCCGCAGGATGAGGTTCTGGCCGGAGAACTTGTCTGTGTGATGCGCCCGCCGGTTGGAGGTCATCTGCCAGTTGATACTCTGGGGTTCTAAAGCTGTGACACAGAAAAGAGAACCTGAAGTCCCGGCAGGCAAAGGGTGGCAAGGTGGGGACTGCCACCTGCAGGAGCATCACAACCTATTCCCATTTGGTCGTCCCAACTCACACGCCCTTCCAGACTGCTGAACTGTTGCATCTCCCTTCCCTTCACAAACTGAACTGTGTCATCACAAGGAGGCCCAACCATATGATAGCTGATGACACATGTGGAACCAGACACCAGCCTTCTTATACGTGTCTGTTTTTCTCCATCAGAATGCGCATTCTTTGGGGTCAGCACTGTGGCACAGCAGGTTAATCCTCTGCCTGCAGCACCAGCATCCAATATGGGTGCCAGTTCCAGTCCCAGCTGCTCCTCTTCCAATCCAGCTCTCTGCTATGGCCTGGGAAAGCTGTACAAGATGGCCCAAGTGCTTGGGCCCCTGCACCTGCATGGGAAACCTGAAAGAAGCTCTTGGCTCCTGGCTTTGGATCGGCCCAACTCCTGCCATTGTGGCCATTTGGGGAGTGAACCAGTGGACAGAAGACCTCTCTCTCTCTCCCTCTCTCCCTCTCACTGTCTGTAATTCTGTTTAAATAAATAAATAAATAAAATCTTTATGTTTTCAAGCCTAACACACTGCTTGCTGGTATGAGGACAGCTGGATCTGTAAATGAAGGGAGGAATACATGAACAAACCAACAAAGACAAAACTAATGACACAAGACATCTGGCATGACTTCAGGGCAAAATGCAGGGCATGAGGACAGGTGAATTGCGCATTCGTTCCGTAAGCGTGTACAGGGCACCTCTGCTTTGTGGGACACTGTGTGAGACACCGTGCTGGGAGCAGAAACAAGTGAACAGTGTGGTTTCAACTCACCAGGAGCTTGAGTAACTAGTAAGACAGGCCTGGGTGATAACGGAGGAGGGAATGGGGTCAACCCAGGGTCCTGCAAGGAGAGGGGGCTGCGAGATGCAGGCAGGAAGAGGCAGGGATCGGGGAAGCGTCACTGAAAATGCTGCACATTGACAGGCGAGAGGCTCTGTCTGTGCCAGTGAGGTAGCCTGTGTACTAGAAGACCGGAAGAGAGGCCCCAAGACGCAGGACGGCTGGGTGTGCTGTCTAGTTAGAGCAGACGCCCTGCACTGAGAAGAGAGGAAGGCAAGCCCAGAGCCAGTGGGGGCCGGGGCAGGCCCAGGGAGCAGGCTCCCAGCACAGCAGCACTGGGCATGAGCCAAGGGAGGGGTCTCTAACCAAACACTGCTCCTGGAGGGGGGCTCAGGAGGTGATCTTGTCACCAACTCAGGGTACTACAGAGTCATTCATTCCTACATACACTCACTCAACAGATGTTTCCTGAAAGAATAAATTTATACATTTCTGTGCAAATTCAAAGCAATGCAAATGTTCATGCAACCAACAAGAATCTGTTGAATGGCGGGAAGAGAGTAGGGCAGGCAGGAGCAGGAGGAGGAGGGAGGAAAAAAGATGAAGTTTCCTGTACAACAACGTAACGGAGACAGCCCAGACCTGAGACGCTCTGGCAAGCACTGTGCTCTCTACGGCTTGCCTATGGCCTGCTGCTGGGGGTGAGGTCTCTCTTGGGCAGTGGCCCCCAACTTCTCTAACCGCTGCCTCCTACCAACCTCACTCACTACCTGCTGGGCATCCCAGCCCGCTGAACTTGGGAAGCTCTTCTGTCTTGTTTTAGAAAAGAAAAGGACTCGAGGAGACAGGAATTTTCAGATGGCATGAGCCTCCTGGAGGTTCTTTGCCCCTCCCCAACCAAGAAGGACGCAGGCCCTTCTCCAGGGAAAAGCCACTCTTCTCGATCAACAGCTCTTTGAGAGCAGAAAGCCTGTCCCCAGAGAGGTCTCTGCCCAGCACAGGGCACAGGGAGGAGAGTGGGAGGGACTCTGCATCCACCCAGCAGGGTCGCATCTTTGCTCTACCAAAAGGCATGACTTGGCTGTGGCTGTGACCAGACTGCAGTCTTCTGTTCACCCCAGAGGCTCGTGGCTTTCCACAGGGACACACACCAAGACAAGACTGAGCTCCAGGGTGGCCAGGCTGCAGAGACCCTGTCCCACCCGCCGGGGATGCCTGCAGAAAGGAGATGGACGAGAGACACTGTGCACACCCCTCCTGGTCAGACCTGGGGCGACTGTTGGGCTGACAATCCGAGCTTCAGCTGGAGTTTATGGGGCATCGTGTGCCAGTCATCGTTCTTAGTCTTTCCACACAGTAGCCCATTAACCTTGTGAGTCGAGCGTTTGTAATGCCCTCTTTTACAGATGAGCAAGCCGAGGTATGCAGAAGCCAGCTCACCCCCTCCCCTGAGTGGAGAACTGGGAGATGCAGTCCCGGGCAGGGCTCCAGAGCCCACAGACATCTCTGCCTCTCCTGACACGCAAGCCACAGAGGCATGAGGGAGCCTTGCTCCCCATCAAGGTGGCTGTGGGCTATGCAAGGTTTCTGTGAGCTGCAGGGGATTCAGCTTTGCCATGCCCACTGCTACTGCCGGTTTACCAAGCGCTTTGTGAAGATCACCAACGAAAGCTTACAACTGGAAAGTGAGGCTCAGAGACACAGATGCATACCTTATGGGAGGTCATACACCTAGCAACTGGCAGAGCCAGGCTTCTGAGCGCAGGCGCAACCTAATTAGAACTGGAAGCTTGCTCTGTGCCTTTTCCTAGCACACAGCTCCTAAAACCCTTGGAATCTCAGAGAGGGTGAGTTTCTGCTTGTATGCTAGTGAGACGCCTGGTGGCTGGGGGCTGGGCGTCAGGATCCAGCAATCCCAGGATTGGAACTGGCAGCCCCTTAGGGACAGAACTAATCACCAGTGACCAATGATTCAATCAATCATCCTGCATAATGAGGCCTCCATAAAACCCCAAGAGAACAGGGCTGGGAAAGGCACCATGCATGGGACAGGGAGTGGAAACTCCATGCCCTAACCTTGCCACGAGTCTCCTCTGTCTGGCTCGTTTGGAGTTGTAGCCTTTTACAATCAACGGGTCATCTATTAAGTGAAACGGTGTGCTGAGTCCTGAGAGCTGTTCTAGCATATGTTTGAGTCTGTGGAGGGTGGTAGAAATCCCCTATTTATGTGGAGTGGTCAGAAGCCTAGGTGAGAATCAGAACTTGCACTTGGCGTCTGAGGTAGGGGTGGTCTTGGGGCCGACATTGTGGTACAGCAGGTCAAGCTGCTGCTTACACTGCCAGCATTCCCTCTCAGAGCACCAGTTTGAGGCCTGGCTGCTCCACTTCATATGTAGCTTCCGCTAATGCACCTGGGAAAGCAGTGGAAGGTGGCCCAAGTACCTGGGGCCCCTGCCACCCACATGGGAGACCAGGATAGAGTTCTAGGCTTCTGAATTCAGCTTGGCCCAACCCTGACTGTTGTGGCCTTTCTCTCTCCTTCTCTGCCTTTCAAATAGATAAATCAATCTTTGTTCAAAACCTTTAAAAGTGAAGTAGGGGCAGCCTTGTGGGACAGAGCCCAGTCTGTGCTACCTCCAGACAGCTGCTGTCATAACTGAGTGCAGCTGTAGGACACTGGATGGTGGCCACTGACAACTGAGGACTTGCTTGGTGTAGAGGGACAAAAGCCCCACACATTGAAAACAGCCTAGAAGGAAAATGGTGTTTCCTTTTCACCAGGTCTTACCAGCCCTGCCCTGTCACCACGGTCCCCAGTCCTCCTGGAAAGGGGTCTCATGCAGAACCTTGTGTCCAGAAGGTTCTCTCTGTGGTGTAGGTCTGTAGGATGCACTGCCCCTGCCTGCCACTTGTACCCTACTGGACAGGAGGCAGGGAGTGCCTGAAGGGGAAAAACGTGTCCCAAGAGCTGACCCCAGGAAGGGAGTAAAAGATGGGGAATGCAGGTCAAGTGTGCACTCATAAAGCTCTGGGTTGGCTTCTGCAACCTTTCTCTCCCCTCTGGCTGCATCCCTCCATCACTGTCCCACTCTGAGCCCTATGATTGGCTCTGCCAGTCTCTGAATCAAGAGGCCAGTGACCTACATGGATTATCTAGGGCCCTTGTTGCTCCAGCCTACTGCCCTTGACCAAGCACGCTGCCCTCTCTGCCAGTGTGTGTGGCAAGGGAAAGGGAGAGAAGGTACTCGAACTTGCAACATTCTGCTTCGTGCTCCTGAGACTCAGGGCTGTTTCCTGCACCAGCCTGGGTGGAGGGAGGGGTGAAAGGAGAGCTACATCATCCTGCACTGCTTCATCAACTTGTACACTTAAAATAATCAGAGGTGGGCAACGGATTGGGCCACTACCTGCAGTGCCGGTATCCCATATAGGCGCTGGTTTGAGACCCAGCTACTCTACTTCTGATCCGGCTCCCTGCTAATGGCCTGGGAAAGTAGTGGAAGATGGTCCAAGTCCTTAGGCCCCTGCACGCGTGTGGGAGACCTGGAGGAAGCTCCTGGCTTTGGTCTGGCCTCACCCTAGCTGTTGTGGCCATTTGGAGAGTGAACCAATGGATGGAAGATCTGTCTGCCTGTCTCTCCCTCTCCCTCTCTCTCTGACTACTTTCAAATAAATCTTTCAGAAACAAAAGCAGAGGGGAAAGACACCCGGAGACGGGCCACACACTCCCAACCCTTACTCTTGGCACAGACACGGAGGGGAGAGGTGCTTTGCCTGTAACAGGAACATCTCTGGGCTCATTCCAGTGCTCGCCTGGCAGTTCTGGGCCACCTGTGTAACTGCTTACCTCCAGGGTCAGGCCTGGGGCAACTTCCCTGAGTCTAACAGTGCCACCAGCAGTCCTGATGTGGCAGAGGCTAAGTGACTACCCCAGATCCCTTTGCTCCCTCTTTCCTGGTAATAAAATCCCCCGTGTGAACAGGCTCTTGAGTGGAGCTGTCTGGTCACATGAGCAAGGCCTGGCCAATGACTAGCAAGCACACAGTCCATATATTAACTTCCAGGGAATCTCCCCCCCCCCCTTTTTAAAAATAGAGGTAAAGTGCACATGACCTAAAAATCA